TTAAATGACAATGTTTAATCAAAGTTGTCGACACAAATATTTGATAAACAATGTTCTACCAAATTAGTCAAGTTCATTTATTATCAATGTTCACTCTAAGAAATTCACGGGGACAATGCAAATTCCTATGAATTGACCTTTACTAGCAAGTTACTTTTTTACTCGAGTTAATTTTATTTTACATGTCAATTTGTTAGTTGTATAATCATTTTGCATTATTATGAACATGTGAGTCATAACTTACATGATAAACGGAATCACGAGCAGCAATAGCAAGGATATCAGCACAGGAGACGATAAGTGGGCAAGCCTTCTCCAATCGAGCTTTAATGACATCTACCACATCAAATGCTCTAAGTGAATTACTATTAGGGAATGCATTTTTTTCTCCGGTAAATGTTGCATTATCATCCAATAGCACGGATCCATCACATCCCTACAAATTCGTACACAAATCAATCACCAACCTAATTAAACCAACTCTTCCAATCAAATTTAATTTCTTAAGAAGAGCGCGAAAAAGAATTATATTACTCACATTGACAAAGCAATCATGGAAATGAAGGCGAAGCAAGGAGGCACCATTTCGAGTCTCGTTCTTAATAGCTTCTACCACGGTGTCGCGTACGATATCCAAAACATTCGGGCAAGTGTAGTAGTAGTAATCAATCGAAAGCTGCTCTTTACTACGAGCTTCAACACTACTAGAAAGGCTAAGAATAATGAGCACTGAAATACATGATGTGAAACACTTGAAAGAAGCCATAGAATAGTACGAGTAGTATGATAGTGCCATTTTGCTTTTGCAAAAGTGCTATTTATATGGTAGATTGACGCATTTATATTTTTATATAGTACTACACTATTACTTAACACATCTGGTGGTCCAATTAATGCACCTTAGTATTCGCCGCCACTACAAGATGATATAAAAGTAATGCTACTAAAATAAATATATAAATGTATTTTATATTATATGGTTTTATTAGAAAAAAATAAGAGAACATGAAAATATATAAGTAACGGTTGTCCACAAGTAGCGAAAACCACGTTTAAGACCACAATTTAGGGGACATTTCTTGCTCTCTCACATGGAGTTTTTGCATATTTTCATGTGGTAAAATTATTTTTTTATATTCTAAATTAATGAGTCTTATTATTTGTTGATTTTAATTACCTAGAAATTTGTAATTATTAGTCCGCAAAACTTTGTTAGATGGGTGTGAATAATGTTGATCCCCATGTTTAAGAATTCTAGACTTCATTTTTCTTCTTATAACCTATATTGCTTAAAATCTATAAATATAGAGTATTACTTCATACGGAGTACGTGTGTATATACCATTTTAAACTGTTATTGTACAAATTAGATCAATTTATTTTTTTCAAAGAAAAATAATATTGTATGAGGATTTTAACAATTTTTAGTGATATTTATCCTTCAAACGAGGGAGATTATAACAACTATTATATCAAAATTTGGGAATTATTTGTTAATTATTAATAACTAACTAAGCATTTGTCAAATTTAATTAACTAATGAAGTTTTTTTTTTTGTTTTTTTTTTGCAAGATTGCAAACGAAGTAATCAAGCATAGAGAAAAAAATTCACATTTGTAAAAAAAAACAATAAATAAAAATAAATAAGAAAAGTGAAAAAGACATAACATAGTGTAGGCTAGTCTTTTAGGTTGTCTATGCACATTTCTCTTGCCATTGCAAATTAGGTTGGACAATAAAGCAATTTGATTGGGTTATTAATTATTCTCATGATATTATCACGAAAAGGGTAATCAATTTCCCTAAAGAGTAAAACACCTAAAAGGTGAAATAAATGAGTAAAGGCGCACATTTAATTCTTGCTTACATAATTAAGGTTAAAATGTTGTAATATTTAAACCACTTGATAATTAATTATGAGTAAACAAATTTTTTGCATGACCCCACTTGAGATAAAAATCGATCATGATTGATTTTGCATGTTCTTTTCGTGCATGCGACAAATTTGGAGAGTGTCCTGGAAATATAGTAGTTGAATTGTAAAATATAAATCACGCTACTAAGTTTATATTGACGTATTTGAAGGGGTCAATTATAAATCACACCAATTATTGCAATGAATATATATAAAATTACAAAGCACCGTTAATATAATCAATAATCTTATTGAATTGCTTATTATGTATTAAAATATAATATACTACTTCGTATTCACATATACAATTAGAGTGCACCTCATGTAAGTCTACAATCATTAGAAATGGATATCACCTATTTAGTATAGCCTTGTAACGGAGTGAATGATCATCTAACTTAGTTGGTTGAAATCTCGAGTGATCTCACATCTACGTATATTATTTGTCCTTGTTGACTCTCTCTACACAAAAGAAAAAAGTTTTATCTTGATTGTTAAATTATATTTTGAGGATAATAGCGACAAAGATAGAATGATGATGGATGATGCTATATACAATGGTCTGTTTTGGTGCAATAAGCCACAAGGGCAATACAAAGTACAAAGAGAGTTAGAAATATTTAAACGTGCAGTGTGACTTATTGTACACAACCATTCAGTTTTAAATACTAGGTCAAAACCTTAAAATTGCTATGTAATTGCAACTAGTTCTTTGAAGCTTTTTCTTTCTATTTGTTCTACAAGTTCTTGAATTTTTGGAAGATCATAACTACTTTTTGCAAATTTCATACTCCATATGATTTTGGGACGAGATGTGGGGCTAAAATTAGAAAGTAAAAGTCGTTTATTAATACTTATCACTTTTAGCACACTAATAATCAAGTGATCACAAGGACTAGCTAGGAAAACTTTGATGAATTGAAAATCTGTCATATAATTCCAATTTGCGCAGTTTATTGCCTCGCAGTCCAATTTTATAAATTTACGAAATTTCCAATTATTATTGTAAGGCTAAGGCCATATCATGTTTTGCCTAGATTCGTTTGTTCTTGGAAATTGGAATGGGCCATCCTTTAATTCCTAAACGGAGTAGTAGAACAATATTGTAATGAGAAGAAATTAGAATGTCCATTAATACTCTAAATTATTATTATGTAACAATAGGAAGTTTCTGCTCCTTAAATAATCTATGGTAATAACAATACCATGAGACATGCCGCAAAGTAGATGTTCTTTTAGACCAAGGAACAAGCAATTTAAGGTAGCTTTCGGCCAAAATTTTCATGCCCAAACCCGGTAAATTGGGCTGGATATATAGGGTTTAGCCGGGACGGGCTTTATTAAAGCCTCATATATTAATACAAATTTTTTGGGCCAATTTAACGATTGGTTAATTTCTATTAATACTCACTTTTCTTAATTTAATTACATCTTCAAAGAAGTAATATTCTTAAGTTCATATTCTAGTTGTTTCAAAAAAAAAAAGTTCATATTCTACCTAGAGTAATAAGCTTAATTAGTTGGTATTTTAATTCAAGAACAAATTCTTGTATAAAATGTTTTTTTTTTTCCTTTTCTTGCTCTAATACTATGGCTTTTAGTATTTAGTTCCAAATTTAATTCTTTTGTAAAATCAAACTTAAGATTGACATAATTCTTATTTGCATTTAATCTAAAAAGTAGCCAAACTAAAATCCAAGAATTCCAACAATAATTCTCAATCTTTAGCTTAATTATAATAACTTTAATAAAATAAAAAATTCTTCAACTATAGAGAATGGACCATGCCACAGTTGTAAACATCACAAAGAACAATGTTATCTAAACTCAAAAAGCGGATTCATCCACGTATGTAATTTCTTCATATTCAGAATCTCTCAATTTCAGTGCTACGAAAAAGATGTTTATTATGCCTTGGAATATTATTCAAAGCAGACGTTTGAGGTCATATACATCATACACATGCATATGACATTTTACGTCCTAATCACACCACATGGGATGATTGCTATGTTTTAACAACTATTAATACTATTACTACACTTCCCTCCAAATCAAATCATTTTTGAGTTAGATTAGGTCTATACACTACAGTATGATATCTTGCTCAAATTCGTAATACTTCTTACACTGTATGTATATATTATCATAAAATATGCTTGTAGGATAATTTGATCAAAAAAATTGATGCGCCATTTAAATAACAATATTAGTATGCTCGTGATAAATGTAAAGTTATCTATTGTCTTCTGAATCTGCGACGATTTCACTGTTATGAAAAGATGTAACTGAATATATGTATGTTGTATGTAAAAGATCAATTGAGTTTCTATCATAGTTTAAAGACAAATTTGTAGTTTTATCAAACTTGTTTGTGATGTTATTGGTATTGCTAGGGACTTATCGAGAGTGACAGTTGTAGTTAACTCTACGTAAAGCTTCCATTAGTTATGTAAGGGAACACCGGCCTCAATTTTGGGTAGGGATTTTTTCGATTGATTGAGGAGGTATTTGACAACAAATTCTAGACACATGTCATGAACTTTAAATAAAAAAACAATTGTTATAATTTATTTACCCAAAAGTATTTTGTCGTCTTTGCACGCATGAAAACATTGAAATATACGTTGTAGTTGTACAACTTGTACTAGTATTAGCACTACTTAAGTAAGTTGTAAATTGCCGGCACTTCGTACATACTGTATTTAGTAAGCCTTTCGAGATATTTTTTCATAAATATTTTCACTTCCCGTAGTTCCCGAGTCATTTTATACTACCTTTGATTCACAATAATATAGTGTTTTAATATAAATTTGTTTACCTTTTATAATAATTTTTTCATTTTAAAAACGTGTCGAGTAAATATGTTAAGATAAAGTTAGTTTTAAATTTTATATATTAACATAAATATAGATATATTAATTTATGATCAATTGAGACAATGTACCTGGGTGAATTTGATGAATCACTTGAACTCTATTATTCTTCAGATGAATCAAATCTTAGCTAAAAAGATAATTGATTATTATTTACCATCTTATTTGATTTTAGTTTTCACCTTAGTATATATATTACTTGCTCAAAATACAATATTAACATGACAACTTATTCTTGACAAAAAATTACATAAAATACTCCATACCAATCAAAACATCAATATAAATACATCTTTCACAAATTTACAATAAAAATAAACTTGGACATATGTAAAAATAAATAATGCATGTACGTAAAGATCTATGAATTAGGGACTCATCTCTAATTAGGTTTACGGCAATTACGCCTAATTTCGCCGTTACTTCGGGTAAGAGGCTTGATGTTTCCCATTCTAATCATGCTCTTAGCAAAGTCCTTAAAGAACTTACATTGATCCATTGCATACCTTTTAACATGAGATTCAGATTTCTTGTCTGTATTGTAAAGTGTCTGATCTGAGTGTAGTAAACCCTTCTTAACTAGTAAATTTTGGTAATATTTGACGTCGAAAGTATACTTAGTTTGGTAGTCTAAGGGCTCTAAAACATTGGTATTTCCCGTTAGAGGACATTTTTTCTTAAGATAGTTAGCGAAGGCGGTGTTGATATCAGTATCATTGTGGATATGTGTTCGGAATGTTGCACATCTTGCTAATCCAACCGTGTGTCCGCCTTCACATACAAAGCATGCAATAAGTACAAAGTTATTAAGTCAGTCATTTGAGCTAATCAACCAACTAGAATTATTTTACTAAATGCTAGTCATCGTTAAAAGTTATGCACAAATTTATTATAAAAAGGACATTAATAAATAATAATGCATGCATAGATATTATTATTCTACGTTGTGACATATAATTATTGTCTTAGAGTCTATTCATGTTTGAATAAGAAAACTAACTAATCAAGTGGTTATGCATTATGTGAAAAGAAGGGAGTGGATATAAATATAAATAGAGATGATGGGACTCTTAGAGTCTATTCATGTGTTTGTAACTTTGTATAGTCTAGGTGTTGATAATAATGGACCAATTAACTAACAAATTAATAGGATGGAACAAAAAGTAAAGTTAAAAGAAGGAAGAGAAAACCACTTTGAAGATGTGTCGATTTCTAAAGTAACATATATATACAATAATCCTTCCGTTTTAAATTATCTAGCTACTTGTATTATTTAACTAATTTTTCATTCCATTAATTATGTATAATATGTAAAAGATCCATGCACCATTACATGTAGATTTTCAATATCAATTCTCTTATTGCATGTTTGCGTTAAGTGCTACGCATTAGTAAGTATCATTTTTTAAATTAAAACGAGTACATTACCTTAAAAATCATCAATAAGAAATTGATGGAGTATAATACTCTTGTGTTTTTCTATTCTATATACTATTTACGTGCTTTTTTGAAAAAACCTTGTTTTTTTTCCTTTATGATTTATACGTAAAGAGAACCATATAGTCATAATAAACTCTTTTTCTCGTCTAAAAAAAAAGTGAAAAGAAAAAGAATACGCGAACTCCAAATTTAATTTGTGATAAAGGAATGTATGAATGAAACAAGATAAGAAAAAGGGATTTAAAAAAATGTACCAGAGAGGACCACCATGTCCTTGAACGATAAACCAACGGCGGCAAAACTGGAAGTAAGATTACTAACATCGAATGAAGGTTGAGGAATAAAAGCGTTTGCTGCACTTCGGTTTGCTGTGAGAGAATCTCTTCTTCCCAATCTCACTTTCCATGTTGGACCACCATACTACAAAATTTCATTTCTTCTATCTAGCTCAATTACATATATAAAGAACAAGTTCGGGAAATAGTGAGAATAAATTCAAAAATACTTACACGAACAACTGCATCACGAGCAATAATAGCAAGGATATCAGCACAAGAGACAACTCCAGGGCATGCCTTTTCTAACTGAGCCTTAATGTTGTCTACAACCTCAAATCCACGGGCTGAGTTATTATTAGGGGCGGCTGTTTTCTCACTTTTGAAATTTGGAGTATCGTCTAGGAGGATTGATCCGTCGCAACCCTAGTTAGTTCACCAATGCATATATTATTAATTAGTTAACACTACTTAAAAAAAAAAACACTTCATAAAACTAGCATTAATTACAATACTACCTTAACTCGGGTTTTAATTAATGAGTACTTACATTGACAAAACAATCATGAAAATGCAATCGAAGAATTGAAGCTCCAACTCGAGCTTCTTTTCTTATAGCATCCTTAACCCCTTCCTTAACAATATCAAGAGCATTTGGACAAGTAGAAGCGTAATAATTTGATGAAAGTTTGCCTTCTACATTATTTAGACTAAGGCAAAAAATAACAAAGAGTAGGAAGTAGAACTTGCCACACACCATTTTCATCAACTCACTATACTTGGCTTCGTGCCGACAATTGTTAATAAATAAACTTGATGATTTGTTTAGATGAAGAATTCGTCAGCCAATTTATTATGTGATGTGCCAAAACAATGGACAAAATTCCAATAATGTTGAGCTATATAGTAGTATATGATTGGTGTAATATAATTTACTCAATTACTTTATAAAGTTAAATAATATAGAGGGTCCATATAAAACAGTGCTTGTGATATTCTAATCAAGTCATTTTCGAATACCTCTTTCCTAAGTTGGAGCTTTGCTTGCTTTGGTTGCTTTGGAATGTTATCTTTATTTCTTTTCTTGATTTGTCAATTTTAATTTTGCTTTTTCAATTCTACTAATAGTATAGCTTAGTTACTAGATTACAAAGTATCTCGATGAACATAGTTTTTTTATAAATTTTTTTAGCTATAATTAAGATTCTAGTTGTCTAATAATAAGTGATTTACAAAACTTCTTGAACTCAAACAAAAATTCTCATATTCCTAAAGAGCACGACAAAAACATTTATTATAATTTCGCGTTCTTTTGTAATGTGTTAGTGTTGGATCACTTAAATGAAAACGATCCACAATATTGGATCGACGTTGTAACAAACATTCTGTCTTAGTGTTGGATCACTTAAAAACCTTCCTTCTCTTCTATCACCAGCACCCTTTGAAAGTGAAAGTAGCTGATAACGATCCACAATATTTGATCACTAACGTCGATTAAGCAAACATTAGCCATACATTAAGACAAAATTTCTAAAATTAATGTAGGTTGTTAGCTTTTTTATTGTTACCCTACATGCATGCAATTTGTTTGATTGTGGCCAGCAACCGGTAACCTTTCATTTTCGTCGATAAAAAGAATTCATTAACAATTGTTACAAAGTGCTGGCAAAATGACAGCCTTCAGAATAGTTATGGTAGTAGCTTGATTTGATAGTTAGCTAATCAAATTTTTGTATAATCTAGTTTGATTAGCGTCGAATATATAAAGTAAACACAACAATTATTGTAAAAGAGAATAATTAAAACAATAATAATATTTATTATTCCTCATAATTCATATTGGCCAATTATAATATATGAATGTACACTATATATATAAACCACATTAAAGTGATTTAGACATTCAATATATACGCAAATTCATAAATTCACTTAAAATCATACATTACGTACATTTAGGTGAAGATATTAAAATGGTCATGCCTTAGCGTTAGTTTAATTTGGTTTACGACAATTATGCCGGATTTCGCCATTACTTCCGGTCAGTGGCTTGATGTTCCCCATTCTAATCATGCTCTTACCAAAATCTTTAAAGAACACGCCTTGGTTCTTCGCATACTTTTTCGTAAAACAATCAGCCTTATTTCCATTGTAAAGTTGTTGGTCCGAGTGAAGTAACCCCTTCTTAACTAGTAGATTTTGGTAATACTTGTCATCGAATCGAAACCTTGTTTGGTAGTCGAGGGGTTGTAACACGTTGTCGCTTCCCTTTCGAGGACACTTTTGTTGGAGCGATTTGGCAAAGGCAGGGTCTATATTGGTGTCGTTGTAAATATGTGGCCGGAAACTTGTGCACCTAGCAAATCCAACAGTGTGTGCGCCTATGCATGTAACAACCAAGTTAGTTTAAAAATTCAAGGTAACACACAACGTCCATCTACATGTAACCTCATGTCATTGTAACATTGTATATATTATCCACGAAGAAAAAGACATTCACTGATTCACTTTCAATAATTAGTTTAAACATTTCAAGTAACACCACACGTCCATTCAATAAGATAATCATTAATACGTCATAATTATTGTACATGAAAATCTATATATGTTAACTCGTTTGTTAGCCAGTATGAAGTAATAATAAATTGTGATAGTAGTAACCAAATGGTCGTTATAACGCAAAAGAGATGAAACGAAATATGGGGAAAAAAAAATCAACTTAAAAAAAACGGAAAAAGTATAAATCTTACCAGAGAGGACCACCATATCTTTAAAAGATAAACCAACGGCGGCAAAACTAGAAGTGAGGTTACCAAGATTGAACTTAGGTTGAGGGATAAAAGCATTGGCTGCACTTCTGTTAGCCGTAAGAGAATCTCTTCTTCCCAATCTCACCTTCCATGTAGGACCACCGTACTGCACTTTTCAATTTTCTCATTAGCTCCATTATATTGGCTCAAAAACAAATGCATATCTATTTAAAATACGAAGTACAATGTTCTTTATGGTAATAAAACGATTAAATAATTACTACTCCTAGGTTTTTTCATCCCATAATAATAAAAAACGTCAATGATGTACATGAAGATTAACAATTTTAGTTCGATAATTTTTAAACAATAATATTTTTTTTAGGGAAAGTTAGTTGGGAGGGAAAAAAGAATAACATTTACTACTACATACATACATGAACAACAGCATCATGAGATGCAATAGCAAGAATATCAGCACAAGAAACAACTCCTGGACATGCTTTCTCTAAACTAGCCTTGATATTGTCCACAACTCCAAACCCGCGAGCTGAATTTTTATTTGGGTTAGCCGATTTCTCACTTTTGAAAGTTGGAGTATCATCCAGTAAAATTGAGCCATCGCAACCCTAGTTGATTAACAAAGTGTAAACAAATGAATAATCACTTAACATAACTAGCATCATAATATTGCCTAATGGCAAGACCTTAAGTAAGTACTTACGTTAACAAAGCAATCATGAAAGTGCAACCGAAGTAAGGATGCTCCAACACGAGCCTCATTTTTAATAGCTTTCGCGATTTCTTGCTTAACAATACTAAGAGCTTTTGGACAAGTAGAAGAGTAAAAATGTGGTGAAAGATGGCCATTTACGTTTAGAGAAAGACCAAAAATAATAAGCAATAACAAGTAGAGGTTGCCACAAGCCATTTTGGATAGTTTCAAATCCATACCGACAAATAGTAGTAGAAGCTCGCTACTTTATAAGCATCTTAACATGAATGTGTCAACTAATTAATGATGCATTTTTTTTTTAAGTCATGAATTAGAAAATAAAGTTTAGTAAAGGGTTTAAGAGCCATTCATGTCACAATCAAGTCAGTGTGACTATTCCATACGTAGTATTATATTGCCACTTTTCTAAGACAAGGAACATTGCTTTGCTTGGTAGTTTCGAAATCTTTATTGAAGAGTATGTATAGTTAAGTTTCATGCATTTTTAACATATTGCAAGACAGTATATGTACCAAGTAAAACCCACTTTTTGTCAAATTAAAACATTCGTACTAGTTTATTCTGATTAATTAGTTCAAATACTATTGAGAATTATTGTGTGAGTTTTTTCTCCCAAAAAAAAAAAAAAAATTAAAATAAAAAATTATTATTGTTTTGAGTAGTTATTACTTATTAGGCTGTATTTAATTTGTATTTTCCCCGTAATTTGAGTGCAACCTTATTTGAACTTCCCATAAATTTGAATGCAACCAAACAAAACCTTTTTACTGTTACACATTGACTAAATACCAAAAAAAAAAAAAAAAAAAGGCTAAATGTAAAATTGAAAATTTAAAAGTTTTTTTTGGAGGAACCAGGGATTCTAAGATCTTTTGAAACCAGGGAGGGAGTTCTAACCACTTGAGCTATCCCTTTAATGCATAAGTTGTGAAAGAACATGTTTGTGTAAAGATACAATATTACAGTCGTGTGAAATCTTGTTTGAATCTTTACATAGATTATATTAATATTTACTAATTAGAGATATTAATAGTTAATAATATATTTTAACAAGCGTGATTAAAAAATTTGTCAAAAAAAAAACACGTTAATTAAAAGAGACGGAGGAAGTATTACAGGACAAGGAGTATTAAAACACCTCCAAAACATTAAATTTATTAAATGAGCCCACAATGTCCATACAAGAAGAAAAGACCTAACTAAACACAAAGCATAGTACAACGTATTAATTGGCTAATTGCCATCCCAAAATGGCTCATGCATTACAACTTTTACTAACTTTTCCTTCAACCCGTGAAAATATACACGGATTTTCTTTCTTATTTCTACTACGTCTGACTTTATACTCTTGTACTCACATCCAACTTCCAAGAGGTTTCACAAGACGTCACAAACAATGACAAAAACATGACATTGTATAATTTTTATGCAACTACTAACCACTTCTGAATCCTATTCCATCAATAATTTTAAATAAGTCGTCGCCATTGTTAATATCTTCTCCGAATGGTAATAATCTATGAACCAAATTTAAAGAGCCTAGTATTTTACAATCTAAATATTAATCCATCATATTTGAGAATCAATAGCTATAAATTCATATTATAAAAGTTATAACACTTCTTGCGCCAAAAATACATATGGAGAAAAAATTAACAGTATATACATGAACATAATGAACACAAGGGTATGCTGTCTAGTTTCTCCCAACTCTTCTTAATAAGGTCATTACCGATAAAACAATTATAAAATGTATGATTATGGTCAAGTAGGATCTTACTAAGGCGCGTTATCATGTCCAATTGTCCATGTTACATCGCATATCCACGCGTACCACAACCCATGTAGGAAACCGTAAAAGGCAACAAATATGGGCAAGGCTATGGGCTTAAGAAAAAGTCCATCCACTTCATAGAGCGAGCACCTAACTGGCGAGGTCTAATAGAGCGAGTACCAGGCATTTAAGTTTTGGCCCCCAACCCATGACTTCCAAACTTAACACGAGTTCCTAACCAAATGCAATATTGACGAGGTCTTCTTTGGCTGTACTACAAGGTACTAAATAAAATAAATTTGTCGACAGACATCTCATTTTCATCTATTCTATAATCTATAATGTAGACTTACACATTTTCAAATCAAATACTATCAAGGCTTGTTGGTGCATTACTAATTCGGTATCTCATATACTTTCGTAGTAGTCTCGCAAGCCCGCCCATTCTGACTAACATAGTCATCCAACAACATATAAAATTAGAGTATTTTCTTATTATATATAAAAAAAACAACTAATTAATTTCTTAAATTACTTTATTCCATTAGCTTTTATCTACCCGTGTTTAGAGCTGTCAATTCGAGTAAACGGGTCGGATTTTAGTCGGGTAAGAGTGGGTCAGATCAACTCGGATTAATTCCATAATCTATGCGC